TTTTTCACCAAATAACAATTTATATAATTTTCAGAAACTTGAGTAGCTATTACTATAAGAAAATAACTTAAGTGACTATTGACATAATCACTTAAACGTTCAATGATCATTAGCGTAATTAACCCAATGTAAAACTTGCAAAACTATGTTAAATTGTCACATAACTGTGGCATGTCCGACTCTGTAAACTCAACTGAGACAAGTGTCTATGAATTTAAGATGAAGCATCTTTTCATGAGAGCTATGTGACAATTTATTGAGAAGGGCTATATCACTTCAAGTCCACTCACGCCAGAGACAGATAAGAGGTAGACCATCTCAAGGGCAACTATGTATCAAATTGAAGCTATGATGTAACCATATTGGAGAATTGTAATGTGATTATATTTGAAGGTCAAGAATCAAGTTGTTATTTTCAATGGATTGGACTTTGGAGACTAATAATGCAATTTTTCCTAGCTGTTTGTCGTTATACTTCTGTAAATTAAAATGTTTATCTCCAACCTTTAGACCAAGACTTAATTATTCATCAGCTTAGAAAAAGAAATGAGTTGGTACTCAACCATGTCACTAATTAGCCACAATAACGTCCCCTAGCACGCGTCCATGAGACCAAAATGTATATATACATATAAATATGTGTTGTTTTCGAAGACGTCTGCTACAAAAAATAGTTAGGGCAAACGATCTAGTCAAAATTTGAACCATTTATTTTGATTATTAAAGATATAATTGTTGTTGATATTGTGCATTGCTTATATTATTGTTGTGATATTGCAATTAATTGTCTGATTAATCATTTATTGATTTTTGAACTACAATGAGTCAAGTGATGAGTTATTTGTATAGACTAAATAGTAAATTTTATAATTTAGGTAGAAGATAGAGATATACTTAGAGGATTATTTCGATCGTTCTCTGAAATTCCTGGTTGAATATTAATGCATTAAGTAGGCTAGGTAGTTGAAATTCACATAGAAATAGTAAGTTTACTTAACTAGAATTGAATTTGCTCGAGAGATGTGTTCAATTAATTTAGATAAATTCGAACAGATACGCATGATAATTGTTTTATTATAGAGTTTTTTCTCATTGTTTTAATCTCAAAACCGGCCATGTCAATCAATTATTTAATCATAGCTTAAATTTTAAAATAGCTATTAGAATACAAACAACAATTCCCTATTCTTTTTTAGGTTTGATTATCCGTGGCATCTTATAGTATTGACTAAAAGTGACATGATGATTTCGCGTAATATATATACATACATACATACATACATACATACATACATACATACATACATATATATACAGATTTTTCTCAATTTCAATATTATTATTTTGCAGAGTTTCTATTAAAATTTCTAAACGCAACTCATATCAGGCCAACCTAATAGGAAATGTAGGTTGTCCAATTTAAAAGTGCAACTATTGATTTGTATGGCCCGTTATAGGGTTAGTCTTGAAAATTCTGAGACTATAGGCATTTAATTATCATGGGACCCCTGAATAAATTTTTGTTTACAGACATAAGAGAATTATATATATAATTAAATAACATATTTATGTATAATCAATTTATTCAATTTGGCTCGGGCTGCCTGACTCGAGGCTTAGGCCAAGCCCATCTTAGAATGTTGTGTCGGCTCGGGAAAAAAAGAAAAAAGGACAGGACAGTACTGTTGGCATGTAGTGATGGCAGCAAGGCGAGGCACCACCCACGCACCCAAACCCCACCTTCGCCTTGCGCCCTGCCGTCGCCTTAGACTGGATAGGGCGGAGCAACGGCTTGTCTCATTTGCTGGCCCGTTTTATTTTTTTTAATTTGTTCTATTCACAGGATGGGGAGTTATGCCCTGCCCCGCCCAACCAACCCGTCGGGATAGAGATTTTTGCCATCTCGACTGGCATGGTGCCTTTACATAGGCAGCACAGAAAGAAGAAAGAAAAAATCGAATCAGCTTGTCTCAGAAAGGCCCGAACCAAGAGGCTCAGATCAAGCCTCGATTTTTTGGCCAAGCTTTTTCTAGGCTTGGCTTAGGCCAAAAAAAGCTCGAGCAGAGCTCAAGCCTGGAGTTTCGGCTCGACTCGTTGACATCCCTAATTTTAGCCGATGAGCTACTCCATCTTGCTTTATACAAAAGTAGTACTAGTAGTTGTAGTGATGATGATGATGCGAATCCATGTAGCAGTAGTAGTTACAAAACCCATGAGGGATGAAATCAAACCCAAGAAAGCCAATAAATCAAAGTTTTGAACTTAATTCAGAAATATTCAACTAAGTAACAAATACAATCGTCAACAGTATGTTGACCCCGTAATCACAAGACTCACGAATCTCACCCGAATTATTTTGAACGCCACAAGAAGTAATTCTTAATAAGTTCGGATTTCGGTCAATAAAGAACAAGGAATTGAAAGCAAAATATGCTCAAAAAATTAATATCTCAATTGACTTGAATGAATGTTATTTACAATTTGGAATAATAAGTTATATATATAGGAAATTCATAAATCACTAGTTGAAACAGATTTAAAGTCTAAAGAATAAAAAAGTTACCAAAAAAATAGAGTACTAACTAAAATAAAAGATCTCTCAAATTTGGAAAATTACATCACGAAAACATAGTATAGAGTCACATAGACCAAGTGAATTCCTCCAACTACTTATCTCTAATGGTAATGCGGTCGCATGTCATAGAAAGCTAGCTTTCTCGTGCTGATGCTTAAAGTGTATGTGTTGATACACTTTGTATATTCCCCCGGGCCAAACACGAAACTTGCTCATTTGCAAGCCAAGATCGACTTTCACTCAATGCAACTTGAACTAGCAATTCCATCACTTTTTTGACCCTCTTTGCTTGCGATTGAGTCATCGGTCCTTCGACAATCAACAGATCTTTGTCCGGACTTGTATTTATTTGCCTTCGTTCCATGAATCACATATAACATACAAAAAATAAATGAATAATCACACCACATAAAAGTCTCTAATAGACCAAAAAAGTGTACCAAATAAGTGGACTTGAGTTTTTTTGTAATGACTTTAAACCTTTACCCCTGTTTGACCCCCCATTAAATTCATAATACATTTTTCTCTCTTCTTTTTAATCACACATTTTCTAATAAAATAATATTACACATAAATCTAAAACTTTTTCTTCTTTTTCAATCAGACATTCTCTAAAAAAATACGATTCCAAAAATTATAACATAAAATAATGGGGCCAAATGGGAGCTTAGTCAGGGTTGGCCCCGGTTATAACAAAAGATACCATTGCCACTCAAGTTGAGATTTGTTGTTTAAAATTAACTGTCCAATTTGCTGTCTAACTAATGATTCATTGACACACCACTTTAAACTAATATGTTCAATTTTTTCTCACGGTCACTTTTGCTTAAAATTAAATATAAAATGATATGTCAATGAATCATTAACAACTAATTTTGACCAGTATATCTCAACTCCTGTCACCTCTTCTGTTTCTCTAGACTTTTGAGTGATTAATTTATTAAGGGAGTGGGGACATGAGCATCAAATCAAGAAGACTTAAAGAAAGAGTTGAAATCTTCACAAGGATATGCACCAGTGTAGTTTACTTTGCTAACAACAAATGCAATTTTCCAAGGCACAGATTTCTTAGGCTAAGATTCCAATAACAAAAAGTAGTTCCTTTCATCACTTTAGTAAGACATATAACATCAAAATGTCAATTTTAATTGTTTGAAAAGTGAAATGTATTAAAGGTGCAATTGAAATAAAAGAAAAGAGAGGCTGAAGCAGATAGCATTGGACGGTGTTCATACTTTGACCAGTGGGTTGCGGTTAAAATTTATCAACAAAACTAACTCAACGATCTTGAAAAAATAACTCTAGAAATGCCATGAATAATTGTTAAAAAAGGAGGACGGGTAAGTCAATATATGAGTATAGAATTCATATTAAGAGATGATCAAGAATGTTGGAGTCTGTATATTCATATAGAAATTGAGCATTAACACGAGAATTTGTAGGAACTTCTTTTTATAATTAGTGGAGCTATCGTGTATACTAAACCCATATAACAGGTTTCTGATTCTATTATAGAATTCTATTCTCATAGATCATAATTTTTGTTACGATTATAGGCCTCATATCAAGAATGTTGTAATGTGTATTGTAGGAACTTTTATTTATAGTTGGTGGAAGTACCGTGTTAAAGTTAACAGATCATAAATTTAGCTTCAACTATAGAATTAATATTAAGAGATATAGTTCTTGTTTGAAATTGATTATTTGAAAATTTCTTTTCCTCCGCACACATTTCCAATCACAAATTTTCAAAAGAAAAGAAAAAATATATTTTTTTTTTCACAACTTTCCTTAACTTTCTAACCAGACATTCTATAAAAAATAAAAGATAAATAAAAAAATAAAAAACACTTTTTAAAATTCACTTTCACCTAAACTAATAATCAAGAATGTTGCTACCTGTATTATCAAACCTGATCTCCTGCTCATAGTGAGTATGATATAAAAATTTTACTGTTGACATGATAAGAGAACTTTAATTATGATTCTCCGAATTAATCATTTAGAGAACCATAATTAAGATTCTCTTGCCACATTTGCCATGGAAAGTTTTTATCTTACGTGTTGGAGTAGGAAATCAATTCTACCAATACTACATGAAACTAAGTGTAACTCAAGAGTTTGTGCTTATTAAGAAGTTCTATTCATAGTTAGTGGAGGTACCATGTTTTATTAAACTATATGTTACATATCATATATTTTTGTTTCGATTATACTAATGAAGTCCAATTTATAGAGGAATTATCTTATTATGAAAATCAATTTTATTTTTTATTGTAATTTTTACCCTTGTCACTATATATTTCTCCTTTGGAAGATGCTCAACTCTTACTTCTCTTCAACAAAAATCCATTTGGTTCATGGATATTGATTTCAGTGGATATCTACTGGGGGGTACGTACTGGATTTTCTTGGTTAAACTTCCATGGCAGAAACCAGCAAAAGGGCTTGCAAAACCTTCACAAAATCACAAGCTATGTCACTCTTTCTTCTTCTTCTCTTTATCGTTTCCCTATCCGCTCGCCGTATCAACTCTCCGGCTATATTAGAGGTTTCTTTAGCATCACAAGGAAGAGTCCTCCTTAATTCTCAAACACAAAAACAATCCACCGCCAAATTCAACGGTGGAGCAACCACTCCTCCTCCCAATAGCGTAGCTCCTCCTCCTCCTCCTCCTCCTGGTAGTGGTGGTGGCACTACGACGGCGAGGAGTACAAACCGAGAATTTCAGGCAGCTGCACATGAAGTTCCCGGAGGCCCGAATCCTATTGGCAATGGATAACAACTATCGTCTTCTGCAGACTGCAGTTTGGCATGAATTTCTACCCTAGGGTTATCTTCACCACCAATGCTAGAGATAAATAAGTTGCTTGTTTTAGAAGTAACTGTGTATACTTAAAAAAGAGAGCATATTCAAACATATTTGAAAAATAAAAGTATATTTCATTTACTTTTCAAAGCTTAGCCAAACATGTTGTGATTGATTCTTTGTCAATTCACGACCACTGTAACGTATGTGTAAGCAATGGCGGAGCTAGCACCCGATGAGTCATGACGGCCATCAACGGTGCTCTCTCGCTCGCTTGCCTGGATCCGTCATTGTGTGTACTCGCTTGCTAGTCCTATTTTTTTTTTCTTTTTTCAATCGGACAAATTTTCTTGATAATTAACAGGCTGTCCTACATTTATGCAAAGGATGATGTCGTGGTAGATTGACACACAGTATTAACTGTTTTGTTGGCTCACTTTCAATCAATCAATTTACGTGGAAAAACTTATCAAATCAAAAGACTAAAGGTTAAAAGAGTATAGAAAAAAAAAGATTTGTGTCTCAACGCTCTTTTCATGCTTCGAGTTACTATGCATCTTGTCGTGTAATTTGTTGGCTCCTTGTGATTGTCATCATTGTCATCCTCGGAGCACATGCCAATTATTTAATGCCTCGTCAAGATCGCTCTATACTCAAAATGGGTAAAGCCCCTCGACCCGCGCCGGTGACCGCGAAGATGACCACACCCTCACATGGGGTGCATGGGTCCCAGGTGAATAAAAAATGCCGACCCCCATGTGTGTGTGTGTTGTGTCAGTCCCAAGGTCATCCCCGCAGACATTGTAGCATCACTCACTCAAAATTGTCTCCGGATACATATTGAAAATCTTGAAATGAGAAAATAAGAGCTCACAACTTCTATTCTAGCCTTGTTTGGTAGAGATTAAAATCAGATTTTAGTAGATTTCGATAAAAATTATTGAAATGTGTGGTTGAAAAGTTGTAAATCTCGTAAAATGTGTGGTTAAAATTATTTTTGACTTTGACTTAGATTAAAATTTGGATTTTAATTTATACCAAACAGGTGCCTAATTTTAGTTGGCCCCCGGGTGCACTCGAATTGGACATAGGTATCATTACACGGTATTAACTTCTATTCTAGCCTTGTTTGGTAAAGATTAAAATCAGATTTTAGTAGATTTCGATAAAAATTATTGAAATGTGTGGTTGAAAAGTTGTAAATCTCGTAAAATGTGTGGTTAAAATTATTTTTGACTTTGACTTAAACTAAAATTTTAATTTTAATTTATACCAAACAGGTGCCTAATTTTAGTTGGCCCCCGGGTGCACTCGAATTGGACATAGGTATCATTACACGGTATAATTTATGTGCATCAAACGATAGCTTGAGCAAACAAAAATTTTAACGAAATGTAATTAAATTACTTAATTGGCCGTACAAACCTGTAACAAGAGGTTTGAAAATGATTCTAATACACAATTTGTTTATAGAGTTTGAAGTTAATTTCAATTCGGAGTATAAAACATGGATCATATCGAGCAAGGTCTAGTGTTTTTGCACCTTGGATCAAATATTTCAGCCTAACATCTGTACGTATGCCATACCATGTATGTTATTGGAAAAAATATATTTAAAAATTTAAATGAAAAACAGTCGATGCCCAAAACTTTGGTTCGAATCAACGACAATTTATTTGGCTACTTGTTAGCACATGACTGATATGGACAAAGTCCTCGAGACTTTTGTACCCTTAACTCCATAGACTCTTGAGCAATTAATATATCACGAGGGGTGGGGACATGAGCATCCAATCAAGAAGACAAGTGCTGAAATTTCAAAAGGATATGCCCCCAATGGAATTTTCTTTGCTCAAGTCAATATATAGCATACAATTCATGTCAAAAGATATAGCTTATTTGGCGTAGATTAAAATCAGATTTTTAGTATATTTTTTATAAAAATTGATGAAATGTGTAATTGAAAAGTCGTGGATCTGATGAAATATGTGATTAAAATTAACTGTTACTTTTACTTGAGATAATAATCAAATTTTAATTTATATCAAATAAGGGCATAATAAAAAAAATGTTATAAGATGTATCTAGTATAGAAGTTGGATTATAAATAGGGAGTTTGTAGCTATTCATAGTTAGTGATGTACTATGTGATACTAAGCTCATAGATGATAGAATTTTGTTTTGGTTATAGAATTCATATAAAAAATGCTCATAGATGATAGAATTTTGTTTTGGTTATAGAATTCATATCAAAAGATATAGCCCCATTTGGTAGTAATTTTTCACTCTAAAAAATCAATTTTTTTATCGTTATTTCATTATTTTAGCCATTATTTTTTACTTCTTTTCTCACGTGTATGATCCACTTTTTCTATCTAACGGTCAAAAAATCAATTCTTATATTCACTACCGAACAAGCTTATAATTAAGAACGTAAGAACATTTATTTTATATGGAAATTGAGTGTAATTGGAGAGCTTGTAGAAAGATGTGTTTATAGTTAATTAGTGGACGTATCTTATTTTACTAAGCTTTAAGATCATAAGTTTTGATTTTGAACATAGAATTTATATCAAAAGATGAAATAAAGAATGGTAGTACATCTCTGGTAGGAATTTGTTTTTACTATTTATAATTAGTGGAACTTTGGCGTTTCACTAAGTTGCCATATAATAATTTTTTGTTTCGACTATAAAAATTGAAATCAAGAGATACAATAAAAAATTTTGGAACTTGTATTATACAGAAATTGAGTGTAACGAGAGAGTTTGTACTTCGTAGGGAGTTCCCCTTATAGTTGGCGGAAGTGCCATGTTCTACTAAGCTATACATCATATAATGTAGATTTTTGTTTCGATTATACTAATGAAGTTCTATTTAAACTGGATTTGTCTCGTTATTCAACTATACGTGAGTGTCCAGCTGAATTTTTGAGATCTACTGGGTACTACTTGTTGGGAATCTACTTATACATGCACAGCGGAAATTAAAATTATTTCGATTCCCATCCAATAGATCTCATTGTGTTTGGTTAGGAATTGTGATAAGATTGTACCTTTTCCAGATCTGCAATCCTTTTGCTTTTCTTTTCGTTCCACAACTTTGATTCGCCACCACAGCTGTCCAATTGTCCAGCCTCCAACGGTGATCCACACAGAGAATATGATTGCAGCCTCTAGGGTTTTCTCTTGTGCTAGCAAGAATAATGAAAACCTTAATGGACCTCAAACCCTAGTTATGTATTTATATAAATCCAAATAGGCTCGGCCCGGTCCGGCCCAATAATTAATTAATCCAATTAATTAATTCGAAAATATAAATAACAAATCCAATTAATTAATTCGAAAATATAAATAACAAATCCAATTAATTAATTTATCCAACGATTGTTAAATTAATCAATTGGCAATTTGCAATCTTCCAATTCTCTTTTGTGTGTGACCCATTAGGTTCCCGACCACGACGCCTAACGACGTGAAATATTATTTTGATCTAATCAAAATTGATAAATTAAAACACCCCTTTTAATTTATCGTCAATTCACATTCGCCGTCCCTGATTGACATCTAGCAATGTGTCAGGGCAATACATGTGACGGGAAATGTCACGTGGTATGACAAAACCAAATTCGTTCGTTTACCGTGAAACTATAATCCCTTCGTCAATATGATCCGATCAATTACGAGATATGGAATTGTGTCAATCTCGATCATCGATCATATCTTTCACTCCACTATTAAGTCAATATAAATCGAAAACTCCTTTTCGACTTATGAGTACACCTTGGCCAAGGATTTCATCATTGACTTAATTGAATGAAACGTAGATCATAATCTCCTACTATCTAAGAGTGACGAATCCTTTATTGATCAATCACAACCTTCATACGATTCTTGACGTACCCGAACGATGTCGTATTAGCGGCCCTTTTCAGAGCAACATCCAACACCGCCAAAGTACGACTGTCCTCATATAAGGTACCATAACGACCTCAAGTCAAAGGACCAATTTCACTACCGAACGTTAGAGATTAACCACCGACACTCAGATAGTTATCCATGTGGAATCTCTCGACGGGTCTCCAATGTTTTGTTCTATAACAAACATCCACGTGTTCATTTAAGTGTCACCACACTTTAACTTGTGAGATCAGCTACTTACTTCACAAGTAAGAAATGCCACACGTGATGGTCTATCCGTAATAACGATATCCGTATCTCGTTATTACTTACGACCACGGATGATTTAAGATTCAATCAGATGTAATTTGTATCTCACAATCACAACTCCTTGTGATTAATAAATTACAAATATTTGAATCTACGGACTCTATTATTTATTTAATTGTCTATTAATTAAATAATATATATGCCATTTAATTGCATTAATTATATATAAAAGTATTTATGTCCAAAGTCGATTGGACCTAGGGCATAATACTTACACTACTGGCTTTTCTTAGTTACATTTTCATGGCAGAAACCTACAAAGTTTTCACAAAATCTTAAGCTATGTCACTCTTTCTTTTCCTTCTCTTTATCGTTCCCCTTTCCGCTCGCCGCATCAATTCTCGGGTGATATTAAAGGTTTCTCTAGCATCATAGGGAAGAGTCGTCCTCGATTCTCATACTAGAAACCAATCCACCACCAAATTCCACAGCGGAGCAACAATTTCTCCACCCAATAGCACAACTCATCCTCCTCCTGGCGCTAGTGGTGGTGGTGGTACCACAACCACGAGGAGTACAAACCGAGAATTTCAGGCAACTGCACACGAAGTTCCCAGCGGCCCGAATCCTATTGGCAATGGATTATCATCATCTTCTTCTGCAATATAGCATGAATTTGCTATAAAAAAATAAGTTACTTATTTCAAAAATAACTTGCATATTCGAAATCAAAAATTTAATGAAAAATGAGTTTAGCGAAATATGTTGCGAGTGATTCATCAACATTTCATGACCTTTTTATTT